TCCCTATTATCCCATTCTGATGTTCGGACCAGTATCTGATTCTACCTTTGCCCTCAGCATATCTGCCACTCTATCTCTGTTACTCAAATGCAATTAACCACTCGCATTCCTCAAAATGGACGATGTGTCCCGTGGAGTCCGATTCTTCCCTTTTGCCTAACTACCTGCTTGTCTGTGCATCTGAACTGTGAACCCCTCCCACTTTGGTAGTGAGTGTGTTGTCGACTTCTGCATAGTCAGATTTCTTCATGTAAAGTCAGTTTGATTGAAAATTGAGAAGATTGTCATCAATATGAACTCCATGGGAAGAGTGAAACGGAACCGTCAGGAATATACTGCTAAGCATACTTGCAAGCGGACGGACCGGACGAGCATCTGGTCCGGTCCGCTTTGCCGCATGCGGCACCCTCCCCCCGGACCAGACGGACCGGACCGGACTGGACGGGGCCATTTTTTTTTTTTTTTTGGGGGGGGGGGGGGGGGAAACTGGTCGTCGGGCGCACATTCGTGCGCCGCGCGGGTCCGGTCCGGCGGTCCGCAGCATGTGCGGAACCACGCGGACGGCGTCCGCTTGCAAGTATGCTGCTAAGTCATCTGAGAATGCTTCATGAGACTTTTCCCTGCATGCAATGGTACGGCAAATACTTGGCATTCTGGGAACTCACCCTTATCACTGCTCACAAACGCCTTCAAGAGGATGGAAACTCTCTCCCGATTCAAGCTGGTAAGGCAGAGGCAACTGACCGCTCTGTAATTAGCTGCCAGAGGAGACCAAGAAGCACCAAGAGAATCAGTGCCATGCAGATGGATGCAAAAACAGCCAGATGCTATGGTCCTCTGCCCAACTTGTGAAGCAAAACTCAACTTGGAAAGAATGCCATGAAGAAGAAGAAGAAGAAGAAGGTGGCGTGGACAGAAGAGAGGAGGAGGAGGAGGAGGAGGAGAAGAAGAAGAAGAAGAAGAAGAAGAAGAAGAAGAAGAAGAAGAAGAAAGAAGAAGAAGAAGAAGAAGAAGAAGAAGACGAAGAAGACGAAGAAGAAGAACAAGAAGAACCAGGAGGAGGAGGAGGAGGAGAAGGAGGAGGAGGAGACAATACTGACCTTTGACTTCTGTGCCAGGGTTGGGCCTGACTGTTGACTTTCCTAGGGCCTGCATTTTCTTCTATAGGCCCTGGGCACCTCTTTTTGACCTTTGAGCTCCAGCTTGCTGATCTAAGGAACATGGCAGAAAGCTGTGACTCTACAAGTTGTTCTTTGCTGATTTGACGTTGGTTCTTTGCAATAAGGCCCATCTAAGAACCAATGGGTGGGACTAACAGACAGGACAGAAGAACGATTGGACAGATGAATGACATAGGCAGGTGGGATTTTTGGGGCGACAGTCAGAGGATGGATGGCTCAGAGTAGACGGATGGCCAAGCCAAAGGTAGGTAGGTAGGTAGAGAAGCAATGGACAAGAGCGTACACACACACACACACAGGGGGCCACACACACAGGGGGCCACACACACAGGGGGCCACACACACACACACACACACACACACACACACACACACA